CCTAGGTCAGGAATTTGGGGAGGTGGTGTTCTTGTTGCTGCTGCTGCTTTGTTCAGAAAGGGCTTGCCATTGCTTTACCCTGAGGCTAACAGAGTGTGACTTCCATGAATGTTGTTGTTGTGTGCCTTCAAGTTGTTTCTGACTTTTGGCAACTCAAAGACAAACCTATCCTGGGGTTTCCATGGCAAGTTTTGTTCAGAAAGGGTTTGCCATTGCTTTCCCTTGAGGCTGAGAGAGTGTGACTTCCAAGACTGCTGTTGTTGTTGTGTGCCTTCAAGTCCTTTCCAACTGATGATGACCCTAAGGCAAACCTATCATGAACCTATCATTTCTTGCCTATGTGTTTTCTCAGACAAGGTTTGCCTTTGCCACACTCTGAGGCTGAGAGAGAGTGACTTCTAAGATTGTTGTTGTTATTGTTGTATGCCTTTGAGTCATTTCCAACATATGGCAACCCTAAGGCTGGTGTTTGCTTGGCAAGATTTCTTCAGAGAGGAGTTTGCTATTGCCTTCTCCTGAGGCTGAGAGAGTGTGACTTGCCCAAGGTCACCCAGGGAGATTCCATGGCTGAGCCAGGATTTGAACCCTGGTCTCCAAAGACATACTCCGATACTCAGACAGGGTGACCAAATGTCTTCAATGCAAAGGAGGATGTGTCACTACAAAAAATGTACTTCCAGAGTACTGCGCATGCACAAGCAAGTCGTGGCTGCCATTGGCTAACTCTATCCCCTATTGACTCACAAATGCAACTCACCAAAGCCCCACCTGCTCAGCTACAGTCACACTCTCACCAAGTGTTTTTAAAAGAATTTAAACACTCACCCACTAAATATGGCTGCTCAGAAACTGCTTTTCTTCTCCCTTCCTGGCAGAAATTCACCTGGAAAGCCTCCTTCTTCTTCTCCTTCCTAGCAGAAACTGACCTGGAAGCCTCTTGGAGGTGTTGTACAGAGTTAATTGGCTAACTCCACCCCCTATTGACACAAATGCGACCAAAGAGTCAGCAGTAGCAATCCTCACTCAGCGGAGCCTTGCGCCTCCTTGTAAGTCACTACAAATGCCATGTGGGGAAAGGCAGAAAAAACTAAGATCACTGCCATAGTAAGATAGAGATTTTCTCTCTCATGCAAGAACATCTTTGAAAACTTCACCATGTTCACAGCAGGAAGAAAATTGATCAAATTACCCATTCTCCCCTGCAGGAATGAATCATTTAAATAACTACATCACTAATCTGAAGAAATGGATTGATACTCATGAAAGCTCATGCTGAAATAAACCAGTCTCAAAAGTGCTGCTTTATTTAATTTTATGTTGAAACAGATTAATATGACAAACTCATTGAAAATGGCTAAAAAGATAGATGATAGCTAGATAGAGATATTGTGCCATTCTTCAGTACACACAATTCTGATACATCTATAGCAAAAACATATACATTTCTGACCATTACATATCTCAATGCAGTTATATTTCTTATCCAGCCAAAGAAACATACAACATATCAATTTTGAATTTTTACTAAGATAAATTCATTCCCATAAATTGAAGAACTCAAAGTATTGACAGCTAGTTTCCTGCTATTGTAAGATTGAAAACATTTATTGATTCTCCCCCCAGCTTCTTTTCTATACATACCTGCTTCCTTAAAAACTGAGTTTTTCAACTGTAAAAGCTTCAGGTTTTTCAACAATGCCCAGCATTTAATTTCTGGAAGGCATATCTCCTCCTGTCTTTATCTCAGAAGATACTACACTAATCTTCTAAGATCTAAGGGCTTTTTCCTAGCAAACAAATGATGTGAGGCCAATGAATCTTTGCATGAGTGAGGAAGTTTGTGAATCTTTGCTGCAGGTTTTACTGTTGATTTCATTATGTGTAGCTACTGTTTTTTCTTGCTTTTATGTATCACCTTTCCTTCCAAGTACACAATCAATTCTTGAGATTCTCAATGGACACCATATTGCTTGTCCCATAGTCAAAATAATGTTTTTGGATAACATTATGAAAGTGGGCCTCCTCCATGGTTACACCCCCTCTTTGAAATGCTCCTTCCTTTGTGGTTTGTGCAGCAGAAACATTGAATCACATCTTTAAAATACATTTTCAACAAGTGTTAAAAATATATTTGTGCAGGCCTTCCTTGATGACTGGAGACAATCCTGTGTTTGTACATGTTGCTGGAGAGTTTTTAAAATTATTTGAAATTGTTTTTTTAATTACTAAATGTTGTTTTAATATTTTAAAACATACACATTTTGTTATAAACCACTTAGAAATATTATTATATAAAGGGATATATTCTATAAAGCGATATACAATTACTTGCTCCATTAATTTTATTGTTACCGGTACCTTATGTTTTAGTTGGTACTCTTGCCAAAACCATTTTAATTACTACCCAGTTTAAAAAAAAAAAGTCAGTGAATCAGTTGGTCAATTCTACTACAATTGATGCCTCTGCTTCCTTTCACTTTTGAGCTATCAAGAACTTTGCAACTGGTCCTAAATTAATCATCATATTTATTTGTTGGTTTTTTAATGCTTTGCTTTTTAAAAAATCTTAATGGAATTATTACATGATTAATGGACATCCACAACTATGCCTGGTTTAAATCTCATTAGGCCACTCACTTCATAGTGCTACTTCTTTTTCCTCTGTCTATAATCTTTCTCTTTCTTGCTGCTCTTTCTCTTATTTTGTCCCAATACAATTCAGTCTATACCAGTTTCGCATTGGTCACAATTCCTTTAGTTCCTCCCCTCCTCTGTGCCAGTGTTTTAATTCTTTCCACCTTTCTTCTTTGCCACTTCCAAATGCTTTTGTTGTTGGGGACGGGCTGGTCTTTCTCTCCCTAGTTCTCATCCATCAGTATCTTCTCCTAATGCTCTTCCCCATCCTCATCAGTCTCTGGCCCAAATCAAATTATTAGTTGGAACTAAAGTAGATCTATTGGGTCCATAGTATTAATCCACTATTTATTCACACACAACAATTGTTTAAATGTGTCTACTCCAGGATCATATACACATTTGTTATTGTTGTGTGCCTTCAAGTCATTTCTGACATGGCAACCCTAAGGGGTTTTCATGGCAAGATTTGTTCAGAGGTGATTTGCCATTACCTTCCTCTGAGGCTGAGAGCATATGACTTGATCAAGGTTACCCAGTGGGTTTTATGGCTGAGCAGAGAATCAAACCCTGGTCTCCAGAGTCATAGTCCAACACTCAAACCACTATCCCATGCTGGCTCTCTCATATAAACATACACATGCATATACATTGCTGGAAACAGAAATTATAGTCAATTACACATAGGTAGAATGTGTGTTGTTCCAGGAAGAGCCAACATGAAGATTTCTTTGTTCTCCAGTGCACCAGCCACAAATAGATTTTATTTAAAAAAAATAACTAAAAACAAAATAACCCAAGATTGTGAAGTTGAAGGCTTTCATGGCCGGCGTCCATAGTTTTTTTGTGGGTTTTTCAGGCTGTGTGGCCATGTTCTAGAAGAGTTTCTTTCTGACATTTTGGCAGCATCTTCTAGAACATGGCCACACAGCCCGAAAAACCCACAAAAAACTAACCCTGAGATTCATACCATCATTACTATGCATACCAACTTTCAAGTGTTTAGACTCACTCTCTTTGACTCATGGTAGACACACTTTTATTATTAAAGAGTGCATGATGTTTGCACCCCTAGGACTGCAACACATAATGAAACTTTTTAAATTATTTTTCCTAAACTGTAGGGATTTGGGGTATTCTACATTTAACAACTACATAATAGACAATTTGGTGGTGCTTTGACAAGAGAACTTCTTGGGAGACTCTGTGTTGAAGGAGCACTAAAGAAGCATTGACACTACTAGCAAAACAACTGCTACCATCAAAGGAAAAAAGAAATGTACAGTATTTGATGCTCCCCATGACAGTACATGTGGTATTAGGTGACAATGCACTATCCTGGAGACCATTAGACAAGAGGCTGATGTATATCCACAATAAAAGGCAGCATGATACTAATATAATGTCATCTCAAAATGGCTTTAAAATTACTTCAAATTAAACCTCTCAGTAGTCTTTTGTGTTAAATAGTATTACCTACTTCCTGATGTTTGCTATTTTTATAATTACATTTATGTCCAAATGAGTTGACAGCATCTGTTAATAATGATGTTAATTTACTGTCATCAGATGAGAGCTTTCTCATTTTTCAGACACACCACAAAAGTATTGTTGAGAATGTAACCTGAGAGAGAGATGAGCAAATGTGCAGAGTGGAAGGGTGAAGGGAGTTGTTTTGATTGCTCAATGAGTGGCAGTATTTGTAATTTCTCCTTTTACATTTTTTGAAACCTTCTATGTCAACCTTCTCCAATCTGGCATCCTCTGGCACTACATTTGCCATCATGACAATGGCCACATTGGCGGGGATCATGGGAGCTGTGAAACAACAACAGGCATTGTTGTGAAACAACACATCTGAGAATGGTCTGTTCAAAATATTCATTCAGTAGAGTTCAATAAAGAGCCAACATGGCATAGTGGTTTGAGTGTTCTCTGGGGCCAGGGTTTGATTCCCCAGCTCTGCCATGAAACTCACTGGTTGACCTTGGGCAAGTCACATGCTCTCAGCTTCAGGGAAAGGCAATGGCAAACTTCTTTTGAACAAATCTTGTCAAGAAAACTCCATGATAGGTTCACCTTAAAATCACCATAAGTTGGAAATGACTTGAAGGCACATAACAGCAACAACAAGAGTTCAGAGGTGGCAGCGGGTGGTTCCCATAGCAATGGAACAGTGAATATATTCCAGGTTTTGTTAATTCTTTAAATGGACTGCCCAATATGCTGAACCTATCTAGGAGAGAGGGTTCAGTACCCTTCAAGACCAGAACCCAAAGTAGATTCCCTGTCCCACTGACACTCTGACTCTGCTCTTCAATACATAGGCTGCATCTGCACTACAGAAATAATTCAGTTTGGCATCAGTTGAACTGCAATGGCTCAATGTTATGGAATTATAGGATTTGCAGTTTGTTGTGGCACCAGAGCACCAGACAGAGAAGGCTAAATATCTCACAAAACTACAAATCCCAGAATTCCATAGCATTGAGCCATGGAAGGTAAAGCGGTGTCATAGTGCATTCATTTTGCAGTGTGAATGCAGCCTCAGTAGTTGTCTCAAAGATCAAATAGAAACTATTGCACATATATATTGTGCATCAAAGGGCAGTGTGAGGGCAACTGTACATGTGAGAACACTATGCATGCATTGTTATATTGTTGTGTGCCTTCAAATCATTTCTGACTTATGGCAACCCTAAGGAAACCCATCCTGGGGTTTTCTTGGCAAGATTTGATCAGAGGAGGTTTGCCATTGCCTTTCCTTGAGGCTGAGAGCATGTGACTTGCCCAAGGTCAAGCACTAGCACCACAAAAGTAGTGTATGAATGTACATTGCCTCTATAAATTGTCTTTCACAATGGGTTGTCAGCCATGTAGATTTTCCACTGATCTACACACATGGCACTATACTGGCATTCAGTATAAGGGCTGCATAACATAACTCCACTGACAGATATTTACACTACGTTGAAGGGATGTCTGATTTTGGCCATAATATAAATCATGTGGATGAGGTAAAGAGTTAATATCATTTTGTCTTGGGTTCTTCAAGGAATCTTCAAATAGGTTTTGGTTACCTGGAAATGTCAGGGAGGACAGGCAGAGAAGTAAACTGGCATTGGTCAGATGCTATCCTACATAGCCCCATTTCCTTATTGCACATTTGGTACTGTTGAAATGCTTTTGCCCCACAAAGTCTAAACTTAGCAACCTTACTGAAAATTAACTGACTAGGATTTTTAACTGGCTGAATTCCTAGAACCAAATTCTGGTGAAGTGATTAAGTTTATTCTAGCATAAGTACATGTACACCATCTTGTATAGGACTAGGGACTACCAAGTAATGGCATCTCCAATTCTAAGCAACACTACCTTTCTTTTGTAATCTTTGCATGTGAAGGTCAGTAAAATAGCACATTTGTATTGGAAAAGTCAGATGTCAGGCAAATCTGCCCATGCAAGAGCTAAATTGCTTGTTACAAAAGCAGTTTTCATTGATCCCTTTTTAATGGTAGTGAAAAAGGCAGCATGTTTGATGCAGGAACTAAAAACAATGCAACAAAACCATGATTTGGCCTCTAGAGTCTCATGGTTGTTTTCTGAATGAATCCATCACTGTGAGAGTGCTGTCTCCAGGGAAACGTTCAAAACAAATGCTAATACCCTGAAAATGAATGAAGATCAATTACCTTTCCCTACTTGCACATGTGCAACACATGTAAATAAGGGCAATTGAGCCTAATGGAAATGTAGCAGGGATGAGATTTTTCTGCCTAAGCACATCTGTCATACTAATGGATCCATTTCTATCATGCTTAGTAAGATGTACTTCAAGGAGGAAAATCTCAAAAGACATTGATCTTTGTTTGATCTACAACCCATAGTGTGCAACAGTTCCTTTTCACAGGCCTTGGATGGCAAGCTTGTCTTAGCTTAAACTGAAATCGCTGCCCACAAACAACAACAACAGGGCTCAAATCAGAGATGGCAAGGGGAACTAGCAGTGAGATTTCCCCACCCCTTAGCTATTCCCCTCTCTGGTCTTTTCTATTCACTCAGTTGCCCTGCTACTCACAGACGTAATGGATGACCCTTTCCCATTGCCAGGGCTGAGAGAATCTCAACCAGGGGTCCAGTCAGTTTCTTCACATCGAAAACAAAACATCTTCAGCCAGTCCTGATGGCCAACATTGTAATAGTCCACTGATAATGATACTGAAATCCTAGAATCAATGTTTAGTGGATTGGAAGGAATCCTGACTCTCTTTGCAGACAAAGCCATTGTGCTGTAAGGACCCCTGAAAAGTTATCCAGAACAACTCCAAACTCACAGCGGTGTTGTATATACATTAAACTTTAACTTAATTATCTCTGTATGTATTTCACGCATTCCATTCCCCTCAGATTTTATTGGTAACATTATTTTTCTACATCCTCCAAACTACAGCCTCTTCAGTCATTCTGTTAATGTGTTCAGGGTTCAGTTCAGGAGGGCATAACAAGGCCAAGTGAGCAGTATTCTGCCATCACTCTCCTCATCAACCTTGACATGTTGAAAGTGAACTTCTGCCCATTGAATCATAGAATCATAGAGCTGGAAGAGACCTCAACGGCCATCAACTCCAACCCCCTGCCATGCAGGAATACACCATCAAATCACCCTCAACAGAAGGCCATCCAGACTCTTTTTCAAAACCTCCAATGAAGGAGGCTCCATCACACTCCATTACACTATTGACTCATATGGTCTACTAGAACTTCTAGATCCCTTTCACATGTACTGTTGTCAAGTCAAGTGATCCCCACTCTATGTCTGTGCATTTCGTTCTTTCAACCTAAGTGTAGTACCTTCATGTCTCCCTATTGAAATTCATTTTGTTAGTTTTGGCACAGCTTTCTAATCTATTGTCATTTTGAATGTTGATCCTGTTCTCTGGGGTATTAGCCATCCCTCCTAATTTGGTATCATCTACAAATTTGATAAGAATGCCTGCTCGTCCTTCATCCAAATCATTGATAAAGATGTTGAATAGCACTGGGGCCAGGAGAGAACCATGTGGCACCCGACTAGTCATTTTTCTCCAGGATGAAAAGGAGCCATTGGGGAGCATCCTTTGGGATCAGCTGTTCAACCAATTAGAAATCCATCTAACACTTGCATTTTCTAGCCTGCCTTTTACTAGCTTCCTTGCAAGAATATAATGGGGAACCTTGTCAAAGGCCTTACTGAAATCAA